AGCCCTAGGGCTAGTAGGTTTAGGGGGACCATCTACATGAGTATCCCAAAAGATCAAGGGATCTAGGTTAGAAATTTGAGTTCAGAGTTGTGAGTGATTGTGTGTGCAGATTAGTGTAGTGAGTGTCTTAGCTCCAGACCAACACCCAAGGTCAACCCTAAGGTCCAACAATCCTAAGGGTGACTCATCTTGAGTTTCCCCCATAGTGATCACACCTACTAAATGTCAGAGGTTATGACCAATATGTGGAACTCCAAGTTGAGTAGAGAAGTGTAGAATTTCTAATGGTGAGGGTTCCATGTCTAGTTTTCTAAGAATAGTCGATAGGAAAGTCCTATGGCTAGACCTTAGGCTACTAAAGAAGAAAAACTAAACCTCAACCAAAAGTAAGGTCAACATGTGTATAGACAATGTGCTTGTAGTCATTCGGGAGTGAACGAACGAAGATTAAAGTGTACATTGGTGGTAAATATACCAAAAAATTTTCCATGTAGTAAACTGCTTATCACCCTCTCCTCAGGTGACTCATAGTGTTTCCACTCCATGAACTTCCTTTCTTTCTTCTGAAACTCTAAAGAGAGGTCTGACCAGTGATATAAATCAATCGATGGATGGTTCATCTTATCGAATAATGATTTAAACAAATTATTCACAGAGCTACTAATATCAACAAAAATACTAAAAAATAGTAGTTATTGATCATGATGATGATGATGATGATGGTGCCATTGTAGGGGTAGATCAATATTAGTATGGAGGAGTGATGGATGAGTGTTGCATTTTGGAATAATGGCTGCCACAGGGCACTCATTTTAATCCATTTCTTGTTGTCACTTTTGGAGGGATCCCCGACAACTCTCAAGATAGCCAAAATTTCAGCGATGTGAATGGTATTGGCCCTTACGGATTCATGTTAAATGTCTTCAACCGGAGCTTTCCCATGTATCTGTGGCACTGCTTCAGGCACTACAAACTCTTTGAGCTTCTCTGTTGTGGTCAACTTCTCGTTCAGGCTCTGAAAATGTTGACATTCACTCCTCGTCCAGGCTCTGAAAATGTTGACATTCCTATGTGTAGTAATCATGGTCGTGATGATATACACAATACTTCTTAAGGACACAAAGGAATTCTTTGGCCCTCATGTGGGCATCATTTTGAACTAATTTTTATTCTAGATGGCTTCCAATAGCTCTGTCATCGACACCCTCATGGACCTAGTCCTCAATGTCTCGTATTTATTCTGAATTTGTTCATGTTATTGAGATGACAGTTAGTCGGTGTACCTCAACCCTCTTATACTCTTGGAGCATCCAATTGTCCCCGTGCTTGGGATGGATGAGTGGACATCAATTTTCCATAGATCTCTACCCACTTTTATGATGGGTTCCCTTCTATGGATGATATCCAGATCATTCATGTTTGTAATAGAGGCTGAGGAAATTTTCCTCAACAGTGATGTGGATGTTGGCCATATGAAGTAGTTCGGCCAAGATCTGCAGCTCCACCAAGTCGAGGCCCCATACTTCCAACGTCTCCTTCTAAAATCAAGTGATGTATGTGCGTAGGATTTTTCAGATGTCCCCTGTTGACCAACCACAGAGCTCGTGAACACTTTTGCAGCTTCTACCCACTAACAAACTAAGCCACAAATAACCACTTTAAATTAGCAAAGGATGTGATTAACCTAGTGGATAACCCATTGAATCACCTGAGGACTGATTCCTTTTGATGTGGTAACTAAAAGAAGGAACTTCAGTGCATCAATGTTTTTTAGCAAGTAGACTGATGATTCAAATGATGTGATGTGATCGACCAGGTCAGAACAACCTTTATAAGAATCAAGTTAAGGGGCATTGAACTTATCTAGGGTTTAGCGATTGAAATCTATAGGGAGAATACATTCTCCGGGTAGCAGCAGGCCTCCGTGCGCCCAAGTCATTGTTTGTTCATAGGTGCAGGCTCAACACAATCCAGATACTGAGAGTTAACAACTTTCTCCACACCCTGAGCTGCTCTGTGGAGTTGGGGTAAAGGTTCTTCCTATTAGTGACTTTGGTCTCATGAAAATTGCTCGCTTCCCCAAAGCACCACCAAGGTCAACTTTTCCATTTGAACCAACATAAGATCCCTTAAGTCTTGAATTTTTTGATGCACAAATTATCAGTTGCAATCCATGTTTTCTTGTGTCTCTCAGATGGGTTTATTCTCCCTATCGTGTTCTTTTTTTTTTTTGTTTTTGGTATGCTCCACATTCTCCGCACTTTTTAGAATGTTGAATTCTAGATTATCATTTAAAGCACATCCATGGAATAAATCATCGAAGAGTGAGAGATATAGAGATAGAGAGAGGAAAATGACTAGATCAGCTTGAATAATCCATTAGTCTTTTTGTTGTAGAAATGACCACCTATTTATAAACTTAAGGACATGAAATATCTGATTGCCTGCCTATCTAATTTTGTAATAAGGTCGTCACGAGGCATTTTGGTTATACATAAATACATGAATAAAATAAAATAAAAAGTGTCTATAACTTGGCTCTCTCATTTTCCAGTCGTTTGAGGCTGGGTCTTCAGTTGGTTTATGTGAGGGTCTTCGGTCGATCATAATATAGACTTTTGGTTGACGAAACTATGGGCTTTTAGTCGATCGAATTACGAATCTTTGGTCGACCATGCTATGGTTCTTTGGTCACCCAGGGTGTGGAGCTTTGGTCGGCCAAATGATAGCCCTTCTATCAGCTAAGCTAAGGACCTTCGGTTGGCCATATGAAATAAGGTTGTCACGAGGCATTTTGGTTATACATAAATACATGAATAAAATAAAATAAAATGTGTCTATAACTTGGTTCTCTCATTTTGCAGTCGTCTGAGGCTGGGTCTTCAGTTGGTTTATGTAAGGGTCTTCATTCGATCATAATATAGACTTTTGGTCGAGTCAATCGAATTACGAATCTTTGGTCGACCATGCTTTGGTTCTTTGGTCACCCAGGGTGTGGAGCTTTGGTCGACCATAGGATAGACCTTTTATCAACTAAGCTAAGGACCTTCAGTTGGCCAAGCTATGGACCTTTGATCAACCAACCTATGAATCTTCGATCGACCAAGCTATTGTCCTTCGGTCGTTTAGCACTTTTAATCTGATTAGCATTTATTGTTCCCTTTGGACGAGACTTCTATTGTCAAGATGAGGTTAGGCTGTCAAGCAGATGACACTTTACCGTAATCCGACAGGTAGCACCACCTTTTCAACATAAAAGGCATTAGGGAGTTGTGTTGTTGTTGTATTTGGTGCTAGTGGCCTTGAAGGGCCTTTCAAATTCTTTTCGAGATGATTCGTGTTGTTGTTTCGAGGAGCTCAATGGTTCTCTTTTCTCTGGGGATATTCTTTGGTCTTGTCCAGAGGGATTGTTGTTCAACAAATCCTGTACTCTTTCTTAGAGAGGCGTTGGTTATTCATTGGATTTTATGAGTTCATTTTGATGTGATCTTAGCCTTCTGGTGAACATTTTTTGATGATGCTTGTCTTTGGTACCAGATGCTTCCTATGAGATTCCTGCGGATACATTATGGGTGTACATTTATATTTTATAAATAGTGATTTGTATTTATTTATTTCATAATTTCTAATTTTATTATAAAACTAACTTAAATTAATTTTTTTATTATTTATAATAAATATGTTTACTCGTGAACCGAGTGTAACCTGCAGATTTAAGCTTGAGCTCAAGCTCAAAAGTGAATAATTAATCAAGTTCTAGGTCAAGCCCAAGACGAGAGTAGCTCAAGCACGATACAAATCATTTTAGCCATAGTTTAAACCATCCTAGATTCATGCCACATCGTAGCTCTGCTCAAATATCAATTAATTTGCTAATTCCGTAAACTATATTAATATATAAACCTGCATGAAGAATACGAATGAAAAATAAAAAAAAAAAAAAAAAAAAAAAAAAAATCGAATCTCAAGATTTTATTAAGACATAATTAGCATCTGATATAAGAATTAATAAGAATGAATGAATGAAAATCAAAATAAATCATCAATGTGGTGGAATCCCTGACATTTTTGTTGGAAATAAAAGAAAAGATTTCAATTGTTGAATTCGCGCCATCGTCTTATCTGAAAAAAAGTTTACAATAATTAAGATAAATTATTATTCTAGTCTCACAATTGCAATCATGAATGAGATGGTGGCCGTCGCATACAAATATCCCATATTTCAAGCTCATCCAAAAAAAAAAAAAAAAACCAAAAAAAACCAAAAAAAAACAAGGAAAAAGAACAACCTAGCTTGTTGATATGCTCAAAAAGTGTGTTTGTGTTCTGCTCGTTTGTTTAGCGAGTTGAACACTAAATGAGCAAAACACGAGTTGGTCACGAAAAAGAATCGTTTTGACAACCGTAATCACGTAGCCATCAGATTTTAAGGGTTCGGGCAAGATTTAAAAATTATTGTTTGTATTAAAACATCATTATAATTTTTATTCTATTTTCTTAATTAATATTTTTAATTGATTATAAATTCTTGTAGCCTTCTCCTGAATATATATATATATATATATATATATATATATATTTAATGAAGAGTATTTCAAGGCAAAACGAGCCGAACACGAAAGAATAATTTTTTTTTTTTTTTATGTTTGACTCGTTAATTTAACAAACAAGCTAAATGAAAACTTCTTAAAAAACCTAACACGAGTTATTCGCGAACGAACTATTCACAAACAACAATGTGACAGCCATATTAATACGAAGGGCTGAGGCGATCGTGACCTACGCCATTATGTTCCTTCAGAAGGATCTTAAATAAAATCCCAATCAAGCCTTACTATAATGGGCTATTTAGCGAAAATGAATGAAAATAATTTTCCCACGACAGCCCGACTCTGTGCGGGACACATGGCTCCATCTTATTGGCGGCTCACCGAACAGTAAGGTGATTTGAATTGGGCAATCACGTGATTCTTCCCTCCGCAAATCCAGACCAACTACGCCAACCCCAGGCCGTAATTTCCTTCATCCGGCTTTTTAAGTTGCTCCCGTGATCCATTTCCAGAGTCCCAGGAAGAAAGGAACCAGAGCTCTAGGGTCCACTGCTCCGCGGAGGTGTTTTAGCTGATTAAATAACGACCCCGGGGCTCCGAATTCCGATACACTATCAGTTTTGAGGTAACCGTCACGCCATCATTCCATTCCACACTTTCTTCTTGGGAGAAAACCACCATTCCATATTCGCCAATCAAATCCAGTTCGGTCAATTGGCACTCGCCGTAATTCCGCCGTTGTTCGTCAGATTTCGGCCGGAGATCACCAGATCTGAATTGAAGCAGAGGGAAACCAGTAATGAAAAATGGCAAATACAAGTTGGGGCGGACACTGGGCGAAGGGAATTTTGGGAAAGTGAAGTTTGCGACGAGAGTCGACACCGGCGAACCCTTCGCTGTTAAGATTCTCGATCGAAAGAGGATCCTTGACCTAAAGATCCACGAGCAGGTAAGCATTTCCGATTACTGCTTTCTTAGTTTTTTACCATTCTTCATTAGTTCCAGCAAGAAATTTATCTAATTAGTTATGTTTTTGAAACGGTATCAGATAAAGAGGGAGATCGCGACCCTCAAGCTTTTGAAGCACCCCAACGTCGTACGACTCCATGAGGTCATTTTTTTTCCTCTGGTTTTTCTCTTTTCCAATTTTTCATGCTTCTATTGGAATTTTCTTTTTAATTTATAAGGAAATGGTGGTTTGTTCTTAAAGTTTAGGTTTAATTTATTGGATAAAAATGTTTTTAATTGGACTTTTTTAATTTATTTAGTTTTTTCTTTTCATGAGACTTTCTTGGTTTCAGTTGATTTGCAGAGGGATTCTGTTTCTGTTTTTTTAGCGGGAAATGACCTGTAGTAATGCAACTGTAGAAGTAATTTGAAAAAGTTTTCAATTTGGAATTTGCTCCCAAAAATGTAGGAATATGCAATATTTTGGTTCAACTTTTTTCTAAACAATATTATCATTACCATTTTATTAGAAGGATGAGTTTTCCTTGAAGGAAAAAGGACATGTTTTCCTGGTCAAAATAATTTTATGCACTGAATTTGAGAAATTTCGGCTCGAGAACTCTGAATTTGTATGTTAGGAATAGAGTACAAAAATTAGCAATTGGATATTTAGTTACTTATATTATGGTGGTGTTTGCTAGCATTTTTTTAATTGGATTTATTCATGAATTCAGCTTAATTCTAGTTAACAACAACAACAAAACCTTTATCCCACAAGGTGGGGTGGACAAATATCAAAAAAATAAAAATTTAAATCCAAAGCTCTGGTAAATCTAATTTTCTTGCATTCTGTCTTTTTGTTGGCACGCTCTGTAATACGATGTAAATCTGAATTTAATGAATCCGATTGCGAGGCAAATTTATTCTACCGTCGTTCACAAACATAACCGTTGCAGCTGGATTTGAGAAATCCTATTTAACGTTAGTTGCGGCCAAACATCGCTATATGTGACATGGCGCTTTCTTTTCCTCACTTCCCTTCTTTATCTATCTCATTACTGCTGGTTCGTGAAAATGTGTTCCTGGCCATGAATTCAACAGCGTATTAGTTTTTTATAATCCTCTAAAAATCGCACCTTTTAAAGGTTCAAAAGTGTCTACAAAATATTTTTGCGATATAAAATTGAAATATAAATATGACGTGTAAATGACTTACGGGCTGTGAAGAAAAAGTTGGCTGTACATATTGCTTTCGATAGCGTTGGAAGGTGGATGACTGACTCAGACTGACTTTAAAGCACAGTATGCATGGTCCCAGTGTTGAGCTTATTATTACAATAAAAACCATCATTTTGTGGAACCATAGGCCCCAGTTCTGCACTATTGTTGATTTTATGTTACTTGCTGCGTGCTCGTCTTCTATTCCCTTAATTTTAAAAGCATTTGATCTTTCAGTTACAAATTTGTTTATTTTCCTTCTGGTAACTGCAAGTGAAGCTCACTTGTTAATTTGTTATTTGCGTGGAGAGTAATTGGTCATTAATTAGGTAGTGCTTACATTTACTTTGATTTTTTTAATTTCTATGCCGTCCACATTTTAATAAATTAGTTTAAATTCCATAGTTTCATTTGTTTAACAGGTTTTCAATCTCTCTTGTGGTCGTTTAGAATGAAGCTACTGATCTTGTTCCTCTCATTGTCTTATGTCGGTTTGCTATTATCTATTATAATAGAAATGCCTAGCCAGTCCGAAATAGCCGCCATTCACATTTTTAAAATCTAATCAGCCTTTTGTACAGCATATTGTCTTCTTATACAAGCACTTTTTCTTTGGTATGTTTGCTGTAGACCATAATTTATTTGCTTTGTATTAAAAATAGCAGGTTTCTGCAAGCAAGACAAGAATCTATATGGTACTTGAATATGTCAATGGCGGGGAGTTATTTGATAAAATAGTAAGAATCATTACATTGCTTTGCTTATTGCCATTAATTTTGTACTTGTGCGTTATCCTTAATAGCTATGTGTAGCAAGTAGTTATTATCGACGAAGCTAATTTATTCTTGTGGGCATATTTTGAAGGCAACGGGAGGGAGGCTTTCAGAAGAGATTGGCCGTAAGCTTTTTCAGCAGTTGATTGATGGCATAAGTTACTGTCATGATAGAGGAGTTTATCATAGAGACCTAAAGGTAGTATAATCAGTATTGCTGGAGAATAACCTCTCTGTTATGAACTACAGCTAAAGAATATAATGCATGATTGGAATTTAGGACTAGCAAGCTTAAGCAGTTGGAACATTTAAATTCAACCTAACTTTTTGTTTATCCTAATATTTACTAGTAGTGGTTCTACCTTCTGTTGGTTATTAATGTATTGAGATATGTTGGTTATAGCTACTTCTGATCTGAATCCTGGTTTGGAAACCTAATTGCTTTTATCACCATATTCTGTATCAAATGGATAAATATTCTCAGCAGCATACGCTAAAGATTCAATGATTCATACCCATTTAAGTTTGTTTGAAAAGATACCATTTGAAGTTAATTCTTTGCTATCTTTCTTTTTTCTTCTTCTTACTTTTCCCCTGATTCTTGTTGCAGCCTGAGAACGTTCTTATCGATGCAATAGGAAATATTAAGATATCCGACTTTGGACTTAGTGCTTTATCCCAACATCTGTGGGTATGTGGTCTATCTACTTAGAACATTACTTTGGAAAACCATCCTGTTAGATATTCATGATTGTTATTTCCTTTGTCAGAATGATGGGCTATTGCACACGACCTGTGGAAGTCCTAATTACATTGCTCCTGAGGTAACATTTTTTTGTTGTGTAGCTTGACGCAAACTTGATTGGGATCCTTATGAAAAATTAAGCCGGCTTTTTTTTTTTTTCTCATTTTGTTTCTCTATTGATTTTAAATTCAGGTCCTTGCCAACAGAGGTTATGATGGTGCCATGTCAGATATCTGGTCTTGCGGTGTAATCCTTTATATTATTCTTATCGGAGCACTTCCATTTGATGATCGAAATCTCGCAGTTCTTTACCAAAAGGTTCGCTAGAGAATTTTAAAGGCTAAATGTTAATTGTTTGACAGCTGAATAGGCAAAAAAGCTAGCTGTAGCAGACTCTACTACTTCATCATTTATGTTGGTGCATCTTTTTATAATTCCAAGCTCAGGTTGCCCTTGAAACTAAACTATGTTAATTTTTACAGATTATTAAGGGAGATACACAGATCCCCAAATGCATTTCCATTGGTGCTCAAAACATTCTAAGGAGGATTCTAGATCCAAATCCTAAAACTCGGATAGATGTAGCTCAAATCAAGGAAGATGCTTGGTTCAAGCAAGATTATAATCCGGCCACTCCCTATGATGATGATAACATATACCCAGAGGATGAAACCCTCTCACTGGTGTTATTTGCTGTGTATCTTAACATTGTTATGTACATAACTGAAGTTGCTAGATCTTAATGTTTAAAATAAGAAATGGTTTATGCTGCAGTCTAATGGGGTAGATGAGTGTGAAAACACGCCCACTTTAATCAATGCTTTTGAGCTCATAGGAATGTCATCTTGTCTTGATCTTTCAGGTTTTTTTGAAAAAGAGGTGAGGTTTAAATAATCACCATATCCTATTTCAGCTTTTACAACTAAGCCCCCTAGAATGACTTCAACAAACTTTTTCATTGACAATTATAGGACATAACTGAAAGGAAAATCAGATTCACATCAAACTGCTCCCCAAAAAATTTGTTTGACAAGATCGATGAAATTATTGCTGAAATGGGCTTCCAAGTTCAAAGTGCAAACCGAAAGGTTGGTATCATATGCTTGGGAACTTTTCCGATCATGAACTGTAATAACATCCTGAGACAATTATATATCTGACAGTAATATCCGATAGCTGTAGTAACTATATTTATCAAATCAAGTTTTATTCATTGTTTCATATTTTTTGATACATTGCTCTAGTCAGTAGACATGCTGAAGCTCCTGCATTATTGTATTACCTGCAGTCGATGATCCTGCCGAAAACTAGAGTTTTTACAGCGTCAAGAAGTCCAAGCTCGCTTTCTGTAGCTGCTGAGGTGGGTTTTATTTATTTATTTTTTTCTCTTGAAATATTTTGAGATGCACATATAGCACAAACATACTGTCTTCTCTTAAATAGCTTCATTTTTCTATCCAGATATTTGAGCTCAGCCCAACCCTTTATGTTGTGGAACTGCGCAAAGCTTATGGGGATTCGTCTTTGTACAGAGAGGCAAGCTCTATTTGCAGTGCGTTTTTTCAACGGTTGAATTGAGATTTAGAAAGAGTGGCAAAAAAAAAAAAAAAAAAAAAACATCAAAAATAAATAGTTTGAATTTCTTAACTTATAGAAGCAGAAACAAATAAAAAAAAATACTTGTAAAAATGAACAAACTATAAAGATTTTATATATTTTAATTATTATGATTAAGCATCTTAAATTATGTTCTAGTCTCTGAAGTTTGTAGTTGAAATCGTTAAGTTTAAGATCTCTTTGTTCCACCGCAATGTTTGATCTTCAGATTTAATTCTTCAATCAATTTGTTAAGCCCATATCTTTTTGCTTTAGTTTTGGATGGTCTTACTGGACATCTACAAGAGGATGCACCTTGGTGTATGTTTTTTGCTGATGATATTCTTCTCGTGGATAAAACGAGAGAAAAAGCCCAGGAAAAACTTGAATTATGGAGGTCTACATTGGAGTCTAAAGGCCTTCTTTTAAGTAGAACTAATAAAACTGAATACATAATTTTAGTATTAATAGCTCTAGTGACAGAAGTGTTACTTTGGGTGATCAAATTATTAAAAGGTGTGAATGATTTAGATATCTTGGGTCCGTTGTCCAAAGCGATGGTGATATAGATGGGGATGTTAATAGTAGAATTCAAGTTGGTTGGTTGAAGTGGAGGAATGATTCGGGCCTTTTGTGTGATAGAAAAGTACCGCTAAGGCTGAAAAGAAAATTTTATAAGACGGTGGTAAGACCTGCAATGCTCTATGGCGCTGAATGTTGGCCTTTAAAAGAGAAGCATAATAATAAGTTAAGTGTTGCCGAGATGAGAATGATTAGGTGGATGAGTGGCTTTACACTTAGAGACAAAATGCGGAATGAATATATTCGTGATAGGGTTGGTGTAGCTCTTGTGACAGACAAAATTAGATAAAGTCGTCTTAGATGGTTTGGTCACTTTAAACGTCGACCATCTGATGATCCGATTAGGAGAGTAGATGTTTTAGATTCGACTTGTGTTAAGAAAGGCAGAGGTAGACCTAGGAAAACTTAGGCTTATTGTATTAAAAATGATCTTAATTTACTAGAACTAAATGAAAATATGACACTAAATAGGACGCAATGGAGAAAAAGGATTTATGTAGCCGACCCCATGTAGTGGGATTAAGGCTTTGTTGTTGTTGTTGTTGTTATGTATTTTCATATTTAAGGAAATAAAAAATAAGTGTATTATAAGATAAATAGATATGAAGTTATACTACTTTGATAAGTTTTTTTATTTTTCGATTTTGCAGTTATGCTCTAAGATATCAAACGACTTGGGTCTCTTCAAAAGTGAATCGCTTTCGAACAATCCGGCATTATTGTCATAGCTCAATCAACTTGAAGGTGATTGATATGTCAGTGTTGTGTAAATATTTAGTTGGCAAAATTTAGGTTTCAGAAAAAAATAAGAATGTCAATTTTTTTTTGCCATTAATTATTTGTTTTAGAATAGTTGTAATTGTAAATTATTTGTATCCCTTATAATTGGGTGTTGTATTTATGATAGAAAAAATCATAGTTCGATGTAAAGTTTTCTCCAGTTTATTAAATGTGAATCTTCCTTTTCTTTAGCCATGAGACTGAAAGAAAAAATTCATGGTGCTTTTATTTTCTTTTAACAATCCTATGCCTTTAATATAATATTAAACTGGTTTCAGATTAGGAATAGAGGTTTTAAATTATGTATAAATGCAGTGTTTACACATTGCTCAAAATCATTAATTTTTATTTTTCTGTATTTGCAATATTAAATTTGATAGTAGATGGGCTGAGAAAATCAATAATTTGGATCCATATTTTTTTTGGCAAAAATGGGCAAGAAAGATATATATATAATGGAAGAATCTTGTTACAATTAAGTGAATCAATAAACGTAAGAAAAAAAATGAATATAAATAATTGCTAAAAAAACTTGTTCTATTCATTCAAGGCATGGACTTGTACAGAGCATTACAACCTTTTACGAATAAACCCTAAACCCCAAACCCTTAACAACTCTATAATTCCTTTCTTATCAATAGGACCGTAAACTAGATACAACTCTCAACATTCCACCTCAAGTAGAGCGAAAGATATCCACTAAGCACATTTTGTCAAATAACCTAGACAAATCTAATGAGCTAAGTCCTTTGGTGAGCGAGTCAACCACTTGCTCTCTAGGGACTACATGTCTTAACTCCAATAGTCTGTTATCCAGCTTTTCCTTAATGAAGAACCTATCAATCTCCACATGTTTGTTTATATTGTGTTGCATCGGGTTGTTAGCAATGTTGACTGTTGACTTGTTGTCACAATACAACTTCATTTGAGCTCCTTAGTCCACATTGAGCTCGACTAATCAAGCTCAACTGCATCATCTCGACGACTCCTACGGTCATGGCCCTGTGTTTTGCCTCTATTGTTGACCTCGCCACTACCAACTATTTCTTGCTCTTCCTAGAGATCAAGTTGTACCCTATGAAAATTAGGGGTGTAAACAGAACAAACACGAACGAACATAGCTCGTGTTTTCGTATTCGATTCATTTAAAATTAAATGTGTTTGAAATAGGCTCGTGTTCGAAATTGTTCGTGAAGTTACTGTTTGTATTTGGTTTGATTTGTTTGAAATATATTTGAAATGTTAAAATTGTTCGATTTGTTTGAATTGTTTGAAAACTTACAAATTTATTTGTATTGTTTGAATTGTTTGAAATCTTTCAAAAGCTTAAACCTGTATGAAATTAACGCTTAAAGCTATATGAATCCCAACACAAATGCACAATAGCCAAAGCACAACTCATAATAAAATCATAATATCAGATTTCATCCATAAAAAATTCAGATATAGAGGCAATATGTGAGATTTCACTCCCACAATATTTGATACTCACCATCATCTGATCAGAAAGGCAAAACATTAGGGAAATTTTAAAGGCATCCACAAATGGATAGCTCAGATGCAAATGAATCATTAGCTTATACATACTAATTGATTCCTTCATAAATGAAAATAATAGTCTTTCTTTTCTATATCTTCCTCAAGAGATATTTTGAACTATAGCTCGTTTTGATTCACCACCATTGGTGTCATTTTATTTCTCTCTTCCTTGAAACTGGAGTTCAAGCAGATGTTAATCTTCAATGGTTTCTTCATTTCAACAGTTAGGTTTTGTCTCCCTCGTCCTCGTCCTCGACATTGACCTCGAATGCAAGTTTTTCGAGAGTTTCCACCCTTTGATAGAATCATAGCATGTTACTTCTCAATCTTCTTTTCTTCTTCTTTATCTTCTTCATTCATTTTTTTGTTTTTTATCCTTTTCTTCTGCATTTATCATTACATCCCTGGATAAAACTATCTTCTTTAATGGGGCATAATATGTAGAATCTTCATGTGTGTCAATCTCTTGTACCGAGAATGGTTGCAGGTCACCTTTAATACAATATTTCAGTCCCTCGTTGGGATACTTGATACACTGGCATAGCGAAGAAGGAACCCTTTTGTATTTATGGAGCCACGGTCGATCCAACTAAGAATTATAAGTTGTCTCAGAGTCTATGACATGGAATTTTGTGGTTGTCACCAAATCACCAAATTTCAGGGGTAATGTGATTTACCCTATGGCTCTTTCACCTTATTGTTCGATGTCATGCAACATCATTTTTTTCGTCATTATCCAATGGTTGTTAATAGTTAGATAGTTAAGTGTTTCAAGTTCATGATGTTGATAGAAGCGCCCAAGTTAATGAGCACCCTTAAGAGTGTGATGTTGTCATCTTTACCGAGATGTATAATGGGTGGTTATGTTCAATTGTGCCTAATAGTAAGTCATCATTGAATAATGTAACTTTGGTCGATCTTTCCAACGAATAAGCCTCATCTAAGGAAGGACTAGCAAATTGAGCTAAGCAAATTTCAGGATCCAAAAGGGTTCTTATTAATGATTTCCTCATTTATTTAGAGAGAATGAGGGCATTATAGATGCTCAATTTTGCGGTAGTTTCCTCAGATGGGTTAGAACATTGTAGTCTACCTTGTTATAAGACTTGCATGTATTTTCATAGATTATTCTTTCTTGCACTAGTGGAACTGCATCTTTCGACCAGACCATTTATTTTTATTTCTCTTTAGGAGCTGTTCTTGATTTCTTGCTCCGTAAATTGACTTTAGTTATGTCTTCTTGTTCTTGTGTCGAAGTGGAGCTTCTTCTTAGGGCATTTCACCCAACTTTTTTGTTTTGAGTCTGATGACTTCAGTCTTATGGAAATTGGTGCTCCTTGCAATTCTAGTGTATCAATTACATCTTCATTTTCACTATCACTGAAATCATTTTTATTGTTAATGTCATTTTGATCATTATTGGAACCATCTGGATTGTGTACAATTCAATAATTGTCTATGGGATCGATACAAGATTGGTTGTATTTGAAAGTGTCATCAACAGAGATAGACAAAACATAACTGAAATCAAAAGTATTTACATTAACTGTCCCAGAAGGGACAATAAAAAATTCATACAAAGTCAATGGATTGAGGGATTTCTCCTAAAATTTAAGACAACTAGTCTTGGAGAATACGTAGAAGTGGAAGAAATAGGAGGTATAAAGGGAATAGCAACCCCTATGTTGTGAGGCCTCCAATCTTCTCGGCTTCATTTTCTCTTTTATTTTTCTTTTCTTTCTTTAGAGGTGGGAGCTTCACATTGACGCAGAGACTAGAGTAGCCTGCATCTTGTTGAGGACCTTCTTCGGAGATTTGGTCCATGATACATCACATGCATTTTATCTTTGTAGGGGTCGAGATAAAAAAATTTGTCAGTTGAGATCACATTGATCGAACAATTTTCTGGCTCTTTCAGGTACTCTTTTAGGATGAATATGTTCCCTGTCTTGAAGTTGTACTCCAACCAGTCCTTGAAGAAAAAACAATCCTTAAGCTTGTGTCCGAGCATCATGTGGTATGCACAACAGTTAGGTTGGTTCTTCATATCAACTTCCCCTAGCATCTTGGCTTCGGGCAAACTTAAACTCCAAAAACTTCAACAAACTGTGGAATATTTTTCTGACTGCTTCTATTTTGAATGGATATTCTTTATTCATCCATTGTACCATTGATCTCATATCTGTTTTTTGTTGAGTTACTTGTTGAAACTGCAATTGCAGAGGTGGTTGTGGTTGCAAATCATTCGCATTTTGTCGTTGTTTTCTCTGCTCAGGTTGTACTTATAATGGTTGCTTGCCCTTCTTTACTATCGAGACATTTCCTTAATTTTTTTTTAATGTGTTGACTGGTCATGGCTTTTTTTGTTTTTTTTTTTTTTTGATATACTCATCTACTTGGCCTTTTGTTGAATACTGGCAGCTTTACTAAGTAACTTTTCAAATTTCTTTATCGTGAACCCCTTAAGCATGAATGCTACCATTCCATGAATTCTTTTAAGCAGAATTTCAACAGCATGTTGCTCTTGGAGCTGCGATTCACACTTCATATTGAGGTTTTTCCACCGAAGGATGTAGTCCACAAGTTTATCTCTTGACTACTATTTTTCTATCAACATTTCTCCAACTTTAACGTGGTGTTGGGCTCAGGTGAATCATTGAATAAAGAGATTTTCCAGTTTGACAAAGGACTTAACGAACCCGTTGGGAAGCTCGGCATACCAATTGAAAGTGACCCCTGCAAGGCTGTTAATGATCATGCAAAACAAGAGAGCTTCACTACAGTCGCATTGCGACAACTTGCTAAAAATTGTGCAACATGGTAACGAGGGTTTCTAGTCCCATCAAACATATTGAAGAGCGATGGTACAAATCCTTTAGGATATTAGACAAAATCAAATTCTTCTAAGTAAGGTCTACTCTTTAAAATTAATGATCTGGCCCTCACCTAGGCCATTATTTCCTTAATTTTTTGTTCATCTAGTTCGGTTTTTTTTTTAATTTACTTTAGGCAGAGTCCTTTTCTTTTGATTATTCTCCTTGACTTTAGTTGATTTTCTTTTATTGTCAAGAATGTGGACTACCTCTGTTTGAATAATCTCAACGACTGGTAATTGTGTCACCTGTGGAGAGCTATGCAATGTTGCTAGTGCAGTCATCATCTCCTCAACTTTGTTCGTGAGACGGCTAATATGTTCATCCTATTACTGTATGATCCTCTTCAACTCTTCTATCAGTTCTTCCTCTCTTGGTGGCAGTACTTCTTATGTAGACGAAGTAGCTTGAGCTTTCACCATGTTGATTTCTGCAAACCCCTCCTCTATTTCATTGAGAGGGTCTCTCTCTCTCTCTGTTGAGAACTGTTTAACATCGGTTCTTAACTTTTATAATCTTTCTTCTATCGAATGTATGTTTTTTTGGGGGCTGCCAATCAAAGTGATGAATCATAGATCCACAACATCAGAAAATTCTTATGATGGCTTACATCTGCATAAGTTCTTTTTTAGTACAAGACAAGATACCTTTGAAGGCATGTCATCATGTTGTGGGCAAGTACAATCCCAAGCTCGTAACATCAGCACCTATGAGTTCATACTAGCAAATGTTTCATGGGCTCTTA